TATATATATATATATAAGACATTGATCAGCCGTAACATCCTTTCGGGGCCAAACCGTCTTGCTAAGGAAGTATGAGGGCTGAGATAACTCAACTTTGCACAAACCCAGACAGGGATAATCGCGACGCGAAAGTTGGCTCCGAACCACGGATCTTCCGGTCAGTAAGCTAGCACCCTAATCATTTAGATATCCCGAGTTCTGAAACAGTAGTGCACCATCAGTTTGACTCTGCGAGGTTGTCTTTAAAGTTCGTCCTTTGGACCTGTTTATAGCTAAGATCAACTAGGAAGTTTAAGCGAAAATAACTGTGCGATGGAGAGCTAATCCAACACCACAACAAGTTGCCAACATAAGAGACTGGAATACTAGTGTTATCGTATTTTGCTCTATCATACTGCCTAGCTTCTGAAACATTTATACCTAATGCTGCTGTGTTTTGCGTTCGAAATTACTCCTTTTTTGTAAACTACATATCAATCGAATACAGTCACTTGGGTAAAACGCGTTGATATTAACAAATGATGAGACTGGCAAAGGATGCTTTTGTGTAATCACGGACTCGCACATCTAGGCAAAGTGCATCACCGCTGCACTGTTTCCTCCTGGGAGAGAATTTCACAAGTTTGTGAGCTACAAAATAGTATCCGTCCTAGGGTATGGAGAATTACTGAAGACCTTTGGCGTTAATAGAATGGCAAACATAGTACGATCATATTCCTTGTCAATAGGTCTGATTGTTACAATTATTTTCACCTGTAAACGATCCAACCAGAATTGCATTCGTTTTGCACACCGTTTATAACAATCCAAATGCTACTTTTCAATATATTGGGATTAGTTACACATTTTTACGTCGCCGTAATTTCGTGCAGTAGTCTCACTAAACAGGCAATCCAATAAACGATACGATCCGGCATTTTGCCGATCCATTGTTATTCGACAGCAACCACCTTCCAGAGAGGCAAAATGGCAAAATGCTCTGTCAATCTCAGGTTAGTAGGTCAATCCTCTCGGCTCATTTACGTTCATGCCAACTGGAAACCACAAAAGAGTATTTTTAAATTAAAGCAGCTTCACATCGAAATCCCGCATACACAGTAGATAACTCAGTGACAACAAAATTTGGTCTCTCTCCATGTAAAATTGCGGTACCCCAAGGTACTTACAGTTGCGTTTGCACTGCGCGCATTTTTCACATCCCAAACCGTACAAATGGCTAGCTATGGAACACAACAGATGTAAACGAAAACCTTGCATACAGTTCAACGTGGGGGACTGTAATTCTCGGTCTATCGTCTAGCAAACCTCGACAGCCTACCAGTTGCTGAAAACGAATAGATGGTAGACAGCCAAGAAGAGTACAAGCATGGTTACGTTCGGTTTAGAGCGGCAACGAGCAAAATGGCGTCCGAGTCAGGATTTGAGACAGTCGAGTGAGTGGCGGTGGTCACTTGTCCGTTTTCCCAGGCAAAACAACCCATAGAAGCCTAATCACTGTGTGTGCTGAATAATATATACACGATGATATTGGAAATGCTGATGCCATTGTTAAGGCTCATGTGATGATAGTTTTCAACAACTACAAACGAAGAAACATGGATACGCAATCAGTTATCAAGTCACAGTCATACCGTAATAGGTCATGTAGGGATAGAGCTCGAGGTATTTAACTGGTTGAGGCTCAAGCATTCCGACACGAAGGTCTGTGGTTCGCACCAACCCCGGCATCTCGACTGCTTTTTTAGGCCTGGGCAGGCCTGTGCTTGCAGCATCTACGTCTCGACGCCATGCATCAAAGGGGCTATATCTCATTTAACGTACACTATATTGAGTTTATTGATGTGTGTATAACAACGACGTTCACCGTCTAAAGGATAAAATACACCAGATTACATAGGTACCAAAGAATTACTCCCAAGTGCATTTTTGCTTTCGAACTGCTAGTGTCGTGGCACGTTGAATGCCAGCAGAACATCATCATCATCATCGATAGCATGACATCAGTGTTCAACACCGATGCTTCACTTCCGTACAATAGATGATTTTCATTATATAAAGTTCTACAACATAAGGTACTAAAGGGTGCACTTTTACACCATCATTACTGAAGCGGAAATTGTGCAACAAAATGTATATTTCTAGGTTTGAACTAAAACTTACTACTAATTTGGTGATATCTGACGTCATTAGGAAAATCTGACTTCTGTGGATGGGGATTCTGAGCACAGAGAACGGTATACAGGAAACCATCATGATATGATATTGATAGGATATGATGTGATCTACTCTGGAGGTGGTGACCAGATTAATCATGATTTGTAATTCAACTAGTGAATACTAGTAATAGTTTTTGTATCTTGTTTGTCGTCTTCCCCCTTGAGCACAGTCACGAACTGAGCGGGGTGGTCATCCACTTGTGCGTTGGAACCCCTAGCACAGACTGTAGAAACTACACTTAATTATCCTCAAAGAATGCAGCGTAACAGCATGATATCTCAACAAGTGCCATTATGGCGGATTCTGTGGGAACGCATTCATTTCTCCAATCCGTCCTACTCCGCCGCATCCCATTTCCTTTACTTTAGTAACGACTGTAGCACATAGGGCAACTGACAAAGTAGCTAGATATTACAATCTAAAATCTATTCTCTTCGCTCCAACCACAGATGTGAAACGCACTCTCACCCGTTCTGTTAGAAAACTGCGTTCATCATTCTGAGGCTCGGGACTAGCTTATTTGTTTATCAGCATATCCCAACGGTTGACGTGCAATGACGCTACCTAATTTGTTCTAAGTAGGCGAGGCTAATATTCTTTCTTATTCAAGCTGAGGTGCTTAGCGACGGGTGAATCGTAGATCGACTTACCCTATGCTTCAGATGTCGTTTCAGATAGAAAGTCAGAACCCACGATTTATTCGATGTAACACCAGCTATGATTTCAATCATTTTTTGTATGCATCCCATTTTGAGGGCAATGCACACTACACTATTCGATCGCACTGTTCTCATGGTGATGCACTAAGCTCAGACAGACAGGCAGACTAAATACTGCGACAGTTTCGTGCATCAAACTGGTCCATCGAGGTTGTGTCATGGTGGCAGAATATGTGATGGCTGGGGGAGTAACAAATCATGCTTATCATGAATTAAGCAGTCCTGATTGTCATCCCAACCGGCTGCGAAATCTCGGGGGTCGTAAGCCATGCCGGAATATTTGTCACCGTAACATCGCAACATCGACTTAGTGTTGCGAGTTTATTTCCTGTCCGCCACCGAAATGTCACCTATCTCGTTTACGTCACCTGCATGCACAGCTGGTCAGGGTGAAGCTGTATGTTTTACTGTGCATAATCACGAGTGAATCCACCTGTTCACTTGTAGGAGGAATGTAGGCACATTATGTAAACGAGGGTCAATGCACATGTTCTGATGACGAGTGTCTCATGTATCACTTTAGTCACTTGATCCATATCGGCCAACAACAAACTCACCACCATTGTGCAACACCATGCATCGACTGATGCCCTTTGCATTTTAAAGAGCCTTCATCCGCGAAGTCTGACCAAATTAAGCGATATCAATGTGCTCTTTTGGTTTTCATGCACGTGGGGCAAATAGCATTTCAATCGATGCCGCTTTTGTGTTGTGCCTCTTAAATCCCAAGGGTCTGTTGAACATTGAGTATTGGAACTGCTAGGTTGTGTCTACGGTGCAAAACATGGTTGTCTAGACCAATGGGGCCAACGATACGGAGGAACGTCTTTCTGTGTGCGTTGGGGCCAGCAACTTGCGGGTGCCGTGCACGTGTCGACATTCGCTCAATATGAGCTGAAAATTGGTAAAACAAGACCAGTCATTGCAACCCAGCCGTATTCCGGAAAACGGTCTTCTATGTACGATCAATTGTCCGACCAACGGTGGGCCGCTACGACATCTTATTCACTTAAATCGGGTAAACAGCACGCACAATCAGCTGTTACGCGCATAAACGTATGGATTTGAAGATACGTTAGCATGTTTGTTGCAACGACAAGAGTTACCTGTTTTGGTGAACACAACACACCCATTGGGTACTGCCGCAACACAACAAAATGTCCGGCTTTCTTGGAAGCATGCCCCATGTGCTAGGAGCACTGTGCGCACCAAGCAGTTTGAGAATGTTTGTTTTTCTGTTTGGCACAAATATTGAGCAATGCGAACGTTTGATTGAAAGATTAGGGTGAGTCAGTTGACATGGGACATCTCCACTCTTCCTAAAACTCCAACTGCACACTAGAGAATGAACAAAGTTCGAGACAGTTGGATTTCTTCCTTCAAGACGTGTACTCTCAAGAGTTTGACCAAGCGGTGAATAAAGTTCACTTCATGAAACTGTGAAAAATCTATGAGGGTCTTATAAGTGCAAATGAGTTTATAACTTCACACGGCCAACTCTAGCTCTACAAACTGAAACCAATAATAGTAACCTTCGTCATGATGATCTGAATCAACTGTTTATGCGGGATGCAGTCCACGAACCGGCTAACCGATCAACCACACGATCGAGCGTGAAATCACGGTAATGGTATCGGTCATGTGATACTTACCGTAGATCGAACAGTGTGAAGCCGTAGTCGCACATGCAGCCGTATGCTGACTCATCGAATAAGTTCTGTCTGAAGTCAAAACCGACGTTGGATCAAATAGATTTACAGAAATTCTACGAACGCTCACAATCCATTTTCAAATAAATGGGAAATTCTTGTGGAATGTAAAAGTCGCTTGGTTAGCGCTAAAAGCTAGCCTGCCACTGAATGGGACCAGGAGAGAGGGCCGGCAAATTCGATTTGTAAATGAATGACAGACTCCACGTAACTAGATAATCTCGCTAGCCCGTAAACGAATTTCAGATAACTATAATCGGTAATGGTGACCTGCTTAAGTGCGGACTTCTAAAGATTAAAATGCCCTAGAAACGAACCAGAAGCTACACGAGTTTTAAAGGCCCAAAATCTCAAAGTAATTGAATTCTACTATCCAATTCTCAAAGTGCAACTAGTCATGTCATACATTTGTTGTGGAAAAGTCGAAAATGGAAGTTCGAATAGGAGCAGTTAGGCTCACAACTGTTGAAAAACAATGGAGCAGGGGTGTCACTAATTACTTCTTCTGAAGACAGCCAATTAAAACCGTTATAACAGTATGATGAGGCAAGGCTCAAGGAAGTATCATAAGGATAACAGTATTTACTACAACTTTTCTTCAGTAGGCCGAAACGGCATATAGTGGGGCGAAGACTGTTAGAGAATCAGTGCTTTCCGTTGCATGAATGAGAAGCATATCAGTTGTTGTGATCTTCTCAAGTGGACAAGTAACTTCCCTCAGAAAATGAGTGGTTGGATTTTATTCTCAAATATAGACTAAAACAAGAATTTTCAACTTGGAAAATGCTGTACCCAACTCAGTGAGAAAGTATTTGCGTTGCTTACCACAGTGTCTCCCCACTGACTAAAAGATTTTCTTGGGTGAGCAGTAAACACAAGTCTTCTCTCCGGTGTTTTGTGCCTGACTGAGGCAAATGTACTTAGCTGCGGGTCTGGAATATGATGAAATCAGTCAAACAGATGTGACATGTAATTCAAAATTTAAATAGTCTTACACGCGTGTGTAAAATATGAGGCATATACCGCCCCTGCACCATGGATTTTGAAACCATCTAACAAGACTCAAGTGAGGGTTAACAAACAAACTGCCTGAGGGATATGCATTCTCAACCTATCACATTTCAAGTTGTGGAACCTCTATGATGACACCTGGCGTGTAATGCTAGATCCTGTTCCCCTCTAAGGCACTTCAGAATAAGAAATCCAAAAGAAAATACATCATCTATCCCCGATCTGGACACTTCGAGTAGAGCGAACTCAGCTTACTTGCACAGCACGGTATGCAGACAAAAGAAACTGATGCCGAGAGGGCGCCAAATGCTTGAATAGTTTGTTAAGTTCCTCAAAATACTGAAAAAACCTGGCTCTAACCTATTCATCTAAAAGAAAGGCGAATTTCGTCCACCAGCATACCTCCTGGTAGTCCCATTATTATTCTACATACCTCTACCCTCAACTTGAGCGTATTCGATATGGACACCTGAAGCGGACCAAGTTAATGACAATCGGGGGATGGCCAATCCAAACATGAATCTATACGGCTTCTAACCATTTGATAAAATGCCCGAATTTTCTTCGGAGCATCAGACGTAGACCCGGTGATACTAGTCAAAATAAGGAATTGGACAGTTCCTAGCGCCGATTCAATTGATTGGTTCGATAACATTTCTCCCATGGCGATTGAGTGCCACAAAATTGTTGTTAACATACAAGCATAATGAAATTAGTGTGGGAGTTTAAAAAAACAGCCCACAAGCACTTGCAACTTATCAAAAAATTTCCATCAGGTTTCAAGCGTTCGTGGTGCAACCCGAATAAGATGTCGCGGTAATGAAGTCAGTCGATCGATAGGACCCGGCCTGTTACTGGGTCATGGTTCGAGCCGTCGGATGAAGCAATAACATCCTTCAAGCGTGGACGCATTGGCTTGTCCATACGTGATAATCCACGTGCATCCGGCGTGCGCTGGTGCGGTAGAGGTAGCACGCTGGACTCGTATGCCTGATATCTGGTGAGTGAACATGCATGGCCAAGAATATACACTTCTGCCGAGCTCCAATTGAAGCGAAACCCGAGTCCAGTGCTTCTCCATCCTGGTTTGGGCGCACCAGGAATATAGATGGACAACTGTTCAAAAGAGAGTGATGTGAACGTGAATTCTACAGATCCGGCAGCAACCCATAACCAACATGTATTTGTTAATGGTGATGAATAGAGTGTGCGATTCTAAGTTCATGGGTATTCCAACAACATTCAAACGAAATTCAGGCAAACGAGCAGTTTCGCTGCTTACAATGAAATATGGTGCGGATAAGGACAAACCAAAGTTTCATCCCCATCATAGAAACGAATTTTTTCTTCCGAGGAAAATCTGTCTCCTGGCCAAATCTGCGGAATATCTGTACTCACAAAAAATATACCAAATTAGACTTGCTGTAAGTCCAAAGTGCATAAGTAACCCATTTAATGTCATCTACTAACAATCACAAGGTATTATCAGTACCAGACTGCTACATTGTACATAGTTATCACGTCGTTTTTAAACTGTCCAAAATAGCCCACCTTGTAAATATTCTTTTGGGGTAAGCTTTCTTAACCTGTAATGAATTCAAGTAATGTCATCCTTGGATCGTTCTGGATCGTTTCAGTTCCCGCACGCAATCGGATTCAACTACCATTGAGGTTAGTTAGGTTAGTGTACTGTATTTTAAGATCGCTGCATACTAATAATACGTCGGCACGCTGGTCGATCTGCTGAAGCCTAGTGCGACTCGGTAACTCTTAAAGGTTATTTCCGGAGGAAAACTCCCGCAGGAAGCTACGCGCATGTGCGGATGCCTTCAAGTCAAGAGCATTCCTCTCACTAGCTCTCCCTATCCAGCTAGCGACGAATGGCCGCAGTAGTAGTCCTGGCGGAGTTTTAGATAAACTACCCTATCAGTCACTAGGTGAAAGGTATCACTTGGCTTGTTGTACAAGTTCAGTACAATGGCAAACAGGTTGCTGAGAGGCTCTGACAAATCAGCCGGCCGATAATTCCCCTGCTCTTCTGGTTGCTTCCTGGCCTCTCCACAGTACCCAGTTAGGAACTGCATGCTATAGAGTTGAGGCTGCTTCACGAAACGCACATAAAGTGCAAGTGGGGAAACTTATGGGACCAGATCTCCACAAAGCCATACATCCAAAGCATCCAGCTTTAGGCAGAAAACAATAAAAAATTTAACCGAAGGACCATAGTTCTGTGTCGCGTGTCCGACATTAGGTATTATCTAGAAGAATTCCTTATCTTGTGAAAAAAGAATCAGCAGTATGACAATCCTCCAGAAATTCCAGGGTAATGACATTTCGATGTTTCCTTCTAGGCACAATTTAGGTATTTACAAAACTCAAAAATATTGCCCGAAGGACTCTGAAGAGTTTTTCTCCACCGGTAGCAATATAAGAAATTCTGTGCCTCAGAATTCATTTTTCTTGGAGGATAAGAAGAGTGGCCGGAACATTAAGCCCAAGGCAGAATGCGTACGAATTATTCAATGAAGATTGAAATAACTTATTCCAGTATCTCAGTGGAATAAGTGCGCAGATGTACGAAAAACGCGCTGGGTGATATACTAATGATGGTATGTTTGGGCAGAATATTACCAGAAACTCCGATTTTTTGTTGCACTGAAATGTAATGTCTTTCCTATCCTCCACCACCACTATGACATTATCATACATTACACTAACTCAGTTGTTACGTCTTTTTAACGCCTAAATGCCATACTACCCGAAGGAAGCGCACTGTCATGTAGTCCAAACCTAGACGGGACCGGAGAAGCCGAAGCTGGTCAGAACTAGGGATCTTCCGGTCAATGAGTTCACGCCTTAACCTTTGAACTGTCTCGTGCTCTTCACTAGCATTCGAAACTGAAGGATAACTTCGTAACGTAACTTTGCTGTAAGACCCACTTAGGACAGATCTCCGTCGGAAGGGATCACCGGGTAAAAAGATACACAAATTTGGACGATTCCCAGCCCCCATATTTTACATTATATTTATTATATGCGAATATGCTTGGATTCTTTTTCGGATTTATCTAAGCTCACTAATACCGGATGGAAGGTACTTTGACGGTTCTTATGTGATTGATGTCATTCTCAACTCCCTTGGCTTAGATTAAGTTACCCGAAACCATTTTCAAAATGGGTCTATTTGTCAGATAAATCCTACAGCCATCAATGGTCCTCTGTTTGGGAACATGCTGCTTCAGAGGACATGGGAAGTTGTGCTTTTTGTAGAATTCTCTCACTGAATGTGAGTGCTATACTGCACAGACCTTCAAAGAGGGAAAAATACTGAATGTCGGTGGTCATTAGGCGTTTAAATTTAACTAGTTTTCCCTCTATTAAATCCAGAGCACTGGCAAAATTGGCTGCAGGATGTTGGTTTTCTACTCTCTGTGTATTCTTGCGTACTCCATACTCATAAATTGTTTGGAAGCAAAATTCCACACTGCTAACATATTGTTATGCCCGTCAGCTTACTGATCGTGAGTGATATGAGTCACCGACTTTTTGTGACTACTTGGAAGGACTGTTGTATCTGTGTGTTTGGCACCATATTCGTCTCCTTTTTACCTTCGTCCTGGTTCATTGCGTCATACGATTTGGAAGTATAAAAATCAATAGATATTTTCATAAGGGAAATTACTCACAAGGTTGCTGAAAACTCTTCGACAGCCCACGAGCGGCCTCGCCCTTCTTGGGATTCATCAGGTAGGCGAAGTCCCCGAGTTTCCGTCAACTTTATAGATATTACTGTCCAATCTCATTCAAGAACAGCGTTATCAACCACTTACAGCAAGAATTCAGGAGGAATGTACTCATCAGGTAAGTCCCCGAGTTTCCGTCAACTTTATAGATATTACTGTCCAATCTCATTCAAGAACAGCGTTATCAACCACTTACAGCAAGAATTCAGGAGGAATGTACCAAGAAATTGGTCCCAAACTGTCACTGTCTATCCTCGAAAGAAAGAAATCTCGAGCTATATATTTTCAGTATGCTGACAAGCGATAGCTTTGTCAGAACCTACACTTGTTGAATTTTGGAAGTTCTCCAAACTTTTTAATCTCATGACTTTGTGTGCTGCCACTACGACTCAAAGTGAGTTTGAATTAAACTGATTTCACTCTTTCGTAGAGCAAACCAATTGTACAATTATCTCATATACTTTCATTGTTTCAGCCCTTATCTCTTCTGACCCTTCTGAAGCATTCGGTTGAGAACAATTTGTGGTGCTTTATGTACTGTATAACGGCATAGTTTGTAAAAAGAAAATTGCCGGTTAAAATACTCTTCCCTCTATGCGCCAGCCGTTTTGCAACGCGCAAGATGATGGTGTTTAACATCCGCACATTCACTCCTTGGTCGTCTTTCATGTGTATCCGTATAGCGTCGCATGCCTCACACGTAACGCTGTGCTGCGTGCTGGGACTAAAAACCCTACCATGCTTTCACGTTTGTTTCGCATGTAGGTGACGTTATGTGCAACGTTATTTGCATCGGCGTTACCTGTCGGTGGACAGTAAGTGGAAGGGGGTGGATACTAATTCACACTCACTGTATAGGCCTTGATTAGTCCCCTCGAAAAATAGATAGCCTTAAAATGTTTAGCTGACCACCAAAACGGAAATGTCTACCGTTTCACATCACTGTCTTCGACCTTCGTGATATCGACCCAGTCCACAAGATGTCCATGGAAAAATTTGGCTCATGAATCTGACAAGCCTACTGTAGGAAAGTGAATGTTTCACGCAGACTTAATAAGGTAGTGGTTTTGGCGTTTGGAATGATAGTAGGCATCAAGTAGCATGGATTCACTTGCGGAAATAGTTATCACGCGCACTCAGTTTCGCATACACGTCCCAGCTTCAGTAATCGTAAACGGGTTCTACCGTGAAACTCGCCTGACAAAAAGTCAGAATCGCCATGCCCGCCTTTGTTTCAGTCGGGGCGAGACCGTGAACAGGACTGAACCGGAAATGTACTTTTCTGTTTCACTTGGCTTTCTGCTGTAATCGAACTCACTGTGTTCTTCCGTAACGTTCGTGTGCACTCCACAATGTCGCCACATTGTCGCTGGCGTGCGACTAGAATTACACCACAAGGTCAAAGCGTGTTGCTGTCACGTGCGCACGTGTTTGCGTGCCGTGAGTCATCCGCATTGGCGACACCGAGGTGACTCATGCGACCAGGGCGTGCCAACCGAAAGTCACCAATGTCTATCTAGCCACCCTTGGGTTAACAAAGGTCCCTGCTGTGTGTGGTAATCGCCGGCTGGAGGCAAAATTGGCATAGTTTCATCATGAACTATCATCAACAAGACCACACCGAAGTCACGGGAAGAAGACTGCATATGAACAAGATTCGCAAATGTCTGTCTGACCATCCTCGACTTGACATCCTTACCGTCACTGAGAGATTAGGACATTGGTGGCGGGAGCTATGGGGGAACAGCAAATTAATGTTTGATTTGCACTCATAG